CGAGTGCGGTAGCAGCAAGAGGAACAGCAGTAGCGGAATGATGGCTAGTTTGGTCTGGCGAGATAGGGCCGAAATCTTGAGAATCCGGCTTATCCGAATTATGAGGGCTGGAATAAGGCTCTAAATAGAGCCGAGGCAAGTGAGAAAACGGAATTTGGGAAATTGTCAATGTAAAAAAAAGATAAATTGTTGATTATGAGCTTAGGACCGGAAGAAGGTTCCAGAAAGCTATTACGTCGAGAGCAAAAAACTCACCAACCGAACAAGAGTTTGACACCACCGAAGATACTAGTGGAGCATTGGCAGATGAATGAGCCTGCGAGGAAGAGGAAGGAGAGATGTGGCGATCTAAAGCCTCAGATCCAGAGCCGATAAGCTTTTGGCGCATCCTCTGAGAGTACAAAGTGGGCATGAGTTTGGCAATTCGAATCTTGCAAGGAGATTTTTCTGGAGCAGGAACATCGTCTTGGATAAAAACATTTAAAAAATAATAAATACAAATGTAAAATAAAGAAAAAATAATTCTATGTAAAAAAAACTGGATTTCAAAGAATCCCTTAATAGATTCGTGTTGGAGTACCTAGCATTTCGCTTGAAGAGGCGAGTGAATTATCTTTAACCATGACGTCCTGCTCTGACTATGTCCGTCACATGGTGGACGGAAGCTCAGCAAGGATTCATCAGGTTCGCAGGGGGGTGCGCCGAGGATCTATTCGCACAAATCTACAACCACAGCTCCAAGTCAACCCCTCACAGCCTCCGGTGTAACCAATTTACGAATCCATTCCACTCACCTCTTCAAACGAAATGAAAGGTACTCCAACATAAATTCTCTATGACTTTCGGATCAAGGATCTCGACAAAAGTAAGGCATTACTAGTTGGATAAATAACACTATGGAGTAAAAATGGGTTAGGTATTGAAAAAAACAAAATATATTAGGAAAATTTCAAAAATAAATCTCAAAAAGCAAATATCCACGAGCGTTGGAAGCTTTAACTCCACTTTCATACTCTGAAACTACGATAATGTAGTGGAATATGGACAGTGCCACAATGACTGCATTAGTGTTAAGATTCCATTATTATCAATCTACAAAAGACAAGGTAAAATCAGGCCCATTTTCTTATTACTGACTGTTAAATGTATCTATATTAGAGTGAAATGAGGTTAAATACATCATGATGAACAAATAATCATGATTTAATGCCATTATTAAATCAGAAATTCTGAAGCAAAACGCTTACTAATATGCCTTACAGCATTCGAAAATGGAGATTGGGGATTGCGAGCTTATTAATCATGAACTGTGATACACACAGCAACGAATTGAAATTATAAATAATAAATTCAGTTGTAAGTAAATTTTCGTAAACACATCTCATATAATAATTTCGGACCGTAAACATATTGACAACCTAGAAGGATTTTAAAGTTTTTATTATCAGATAATATTAATCCTTAGGCGCTAATGAAAAAAAGGATAAAGGGAGATATAGATAAGCATAGTTAGTAAGCAATTTAGGAAAAAAATATGACTGGTCAGCCAGTCATATAGAAAACGGGAAAGGTACTAGTTGAAGTATATACAAGCCCGCATTTAGGTGCCCACCGCTTACATGCGAAATATGCTCAAAATATATTGAATCGACATGCTTATATGCATCATTGTAGAACCAGACTATGCAGGCCCTGAAGCGCAGAATGAAGGATAAATCAAAATAGTATAATGAACGCAAAGAGGAGAGGACATCACTAGCAAAAGGATCGATAACATTTCAGGCAAAAACAAAGACTCACTGACTGAACGACTTATAAGCGTGATGATAGATAGTCATCGTCACATACTGATGCAGTGTATAAGGGTAAGAGAAAAGAAAAGGGTATCCTGGCGTATGCACGAACAAGAGTTGTCGTGAATGGGGTAGAGCGACTCCTTAGACAAACATAATGCCATAGACAAACAAACGCAGAAATACGAACAAGCGCGAGTGGGAGTGAAGAAGAGAAGAGGTAATCAGGAGTTAACGAAGGGCGAGAAGAGGCAGGTAAAGATTTGGTCTACTAAAGGATTTTAAGAAGCAGAGGGTGCCAAGTGCGAAGCAGCCAGTGCATGCAGTTAAGGATTGTGAGTGAGTGCACAGTTCGAAACCACGTCAGCAGACTGAGCTAAAACTGGACAGACAAGATAAGAAAATTTAGCAAATAGGCCAAACGAGTAAAATGCGGTAAGGTGGAAGTAATGAATGAAAAATGTGTATCAAAAGATAAAAACTGCTAATGCAAAAAACCAATATCGCAGAAAATTACGCTTGTCAGTCGTATAGCCTCCCCGGGGGTAATTAAGTAAAGTAATGATTAAGGACTGAGAATTCTCGATGAACTGGAAACAAAACCTTTAGAACAGCGGTTATAATAAGGAAAAACTAAAGGAATGTATTAATCACGTACTTCCATCAGCAAGCTGTTGTAATTTCTCCTCACTATCTTTTTGGTAGTAATCACTGCTCGGAACACGAGGCACACCGAGGTGGCGGACCGCGCTTCTGTGCTCTCGGCTTTGGCGTACCGAGGCCTCAACTAGGCGAAGCAGCGTCGCCTCCGGAAGTGGTGATGTTCTTTTCGAAGAGTGGCAAATTGACTTTGATTTCCCGCAAGTAGCACTTGAATTGTCACGAAATGAAGAAGAAAGACCAGCATTGGAATTAAAGAATGAATGAGCCCCAAGCCATGTCATTGCATCTGAAAATATAGAACAAAGAAAACCTAAGCGAAAAACATTGTTCACTCATTTGCCTTATCAGGCAATTTTATGTCTTTCAAGATAAAATAATCGAGTTTAATGAGAGTGAAGAGAATGGGGACTTGAGAATCATGTAAAGCATATGACGGCATAGTACTTTAGACAAGTATTTATAAATGTAGATGAAAGTAAATATGTAAAAAAAAATTTACAAATTATTGGATCGACTTCTCTTAATATTGCAGTCGTAAATAAGTCCTTGAATCGGCCTTTAGGACGGCCTGAACAAATGGCAACTTGTTAGTATTTAAGGAATCTTATTCAAGCCAACGTGCATTCAAATATCGTGATAATAAGGTAGTATAAATAAAAATAATAAGTTTAATAAGCCAAGTACAATGTAGTATGGGGGAAAAGTCTCCTTAGCATTTATCAAATAAAATGTAAGTCGTTAGCATAAAAACATATTAATGCTAATAATGAAAAATAAATGACAATTTTTGAACAGAAAGCAAAACAATAACTCAATTAGTGTTGGTCCGACCTCGTTTTAGCAACTTGGTCGGAGCGATAGGTAGACCTTATGGAATGTGCCAAGTCTTGTCTCCTCTACCATATTATTCGTGATTTCCAGCATCGGACCATTAACTTGACACATTCATGAACGTTTCGTTAACTCAATTAGTTT